TTTTTAAAATTATTCTCTATTTTATAAATCAATAGTGTCTAGTAACCTGCTAAATAACAAGACGATTCAGCCGTCAAATTCGATTTTGTCCAATGCCGGAGTCCAGCGACAGTGTGCAAACGTGCTCCGGTGACGGTGACGACCACGGTGACTAGCGACACCAGAACGAACATATTTCGTATCTGTCTCAACCGCATGCAACAAAATTGATACTATGTGTTCATTATGGTCCATTCTTCCTCGACAAACAAGTACATAAGTGGCAATTTAGTCAAAGACGAGAAAACAGCACAAGAAATTTGCCTTATTTACACGTATCTGCAATGCAAGCTTCCCAGCGACTTCCCCTTCTGACGTCACAAGGGGAATTTCTGTATGCAAACGAGAATCTAATGAGGAGCCTCGTTTTAAAATACACAAAAATAAAGTTTCCGTAGACTGAGTTAAAAACACATTTTTTCACTTAAAAAAATTATTTATGCTTAGAAACATAAAAATTAATAATATTTATGTATCAATGGATAATTTTAGGCGTGAAAATAGCAGCCATTTCACAGGCACTTTAACTGTACTTATACTTGAAATTGATGTACTTGCCATGATATTTGACTCTTGGTACCTGTATTTATACATTTCTCTGCTTTAAAAACCATGATGTGTGTGGCTAAAGAGACCATATTGGCTAGTTGCCAATATCTTGAGCCATTGCTTTGGCCTTATGAACTCTGGCACAGGTAAGAGTTAGGTATTATTAACTTTGTTTTTTTTCTGTGTCCTTAGTTTATGCCTGAACAAGCCTAGTTGATGCAGCAGTACAGACATTTTCCACTATGTCTGTGCCGAGTACAGAATATAGAATAAGCCAACATACATCTGATAAAGTTACAAAGGCCAAAGTCACATTGGAAAATTTCTATTCTAATCTTATATTTCAAAATGAAGAGAGGCAGAACAGGTAAGTGTTGAGTTATTTTTATGTGGTGTCCTGTCTTTTTGTCTATCTTCAAATCCCAGTGATGGTATTAATGGTTAACTGTTTTGATGTTTATTAATTGTTCACATAAACCTGTCAAATGTTGTCCGGCACTCAAAATTAGCGACCGGCATATATGACTGCCGTCCGGCACTATTGTTTTTGTCCATGACGCAACGAACGCGCTGGAAGACAAAAGAATATTTAAGAGGATGGATAATCAAAGCTTGGGTTGTGTAACCAATTAAAAAAAACAATAGGGTGGGTGAAACCCTACTTAGCACGGCGGTAATGCATAGAAAAGAAGATTACCATACCCATATTTTTACTGCCAGGGTGACGTCAAATATATAAAATCGATATCTGTAAAACCATTCGTTAAAACATAAGGTCTATGGTTAAAACCAAGTTCACGCCATGACTTGTAGCGGCAACGTTGTCACCGCCGAGCGGAACAAAGGCACTTGCATGATCGGTAAACGCAGCTGACGTACCATCCTAGACAACATAGTTGATCACCAAAAAGTCCAGACGAATGCTTGATTATAGATGTAAATGTTTATATTTTGACTATTTAAAGTTGAATTTTCTTCAAATCACGATTTAAAAACCCCGGTAAAACGGCCATGCTTTCAACTCGTGTCATAAGTGAAGGAAATAAATTTACTTGTGTTCTTATTGGATCAAATATTCTGATTGGTTGTTTTTTGCGTCAATGTGTGGCTTTGTCCAATCAAAAGCATCGTTACATAGTATCAGGGTACACGCAGTAAAATGAACTGTTTCCGGGTCATAGCTGTTTTCAACGAAGCAGACATCAACAAACTTTCGATTCGAATGAAAATTATTCTTTTAAGTATGTATTTTTTTTTTATACATAATGCTATTATTTTTGCTAGAAACTGTTAACTGCAGATCGAAAATCTTCTATTGAGTAGATTTTATTTCGTTTTATCATCTTGCATTTTGGCACCGATGACGCACATTCATGCAAGTTTTTAATGAACCAATACATTACGACAACTAAATTTTATATTGCCACGTCCAAATAAACAAAATATACAAACATTAAATTTCCAGTAGCTATTGATTTTTCTCAAAATAAAAATACAGAAAATAAGTTATAGTACTTTTTTGAAACATTATTTTATTTTGGCTGACTTCATAAAACATTAATTTTAAAAAACGATTTAAGTCTTCAAAGATGATTTGTTAGTGTATTATTTATCCTGTGTTGTGTTGTAATCTTCCATTCTGTATAATAAATATCATTACATATGACCTGTCTTCTGTCAAAGAAATACTCACTCCCTGTGGCCATTTTGAATATTAATTATTCATGCATATTAATGAGCTCATGAATATTCATACCGTCCAGAACTCTCAGCCTGCTGGGGAGAACCCTGGTTCATCCACCTACAGGTCTTCCACATTTGCTTTCAAAAATAGATATATTGCCAATCGTATTCAAACATGTTTTTGGATTATAAAGGGAGATGCGTACATAACTGCCCAAACATGTTACCTACCCTCAATTGAAATCACATCACATTTTGAATAGTATTGGTTATCGTACATCTAAAGTATTGTCGTTAAACGTGCATCTACGCAGTGGTAGTGTGACCTGTATACATTATTATAGATATTTTTATTCAAATTGTTATTATGTCATGCAAATGAGTATTGCACTATTTGTTCTTACAAGGATTTCTGGACATTTTAATCCCAGTTTGGATAAAATCTGAAAACCTAGACTTATTTCACTCTGTGTGTGCGTCCATCTGCACCTGTATCTTGGGTATCATAATCATGTTCAAACTTCACACATACATTATATATTTTGGGCTACATATGCACATATATTTGTTTCAAGATACTGGTGATTTTAGTGCCAAAAATTTATCAAAACCAAGCATTTGGACAATTCCTGAACCTGAATTCAGTCAGGAATAAAGAAATTTTTCTAAAACTTGCATTTATATACACTCAATAAATTAAAATACCCAGAATTTATTCCTTTTGCAATAAACTGTACTCCAACGCAATATAAGAATATTGACTTAAAAAAATGTTGGGGGTCACCAGCCTTATTTCTAGAAATTGAAGGTTGTATTTTACTGGAAAGTCGCCATTTTGAAACTATTATAATGCTTTTACCATAGGTTCCTATGGCAGAGATATTATGCAATATCTCAAAATCTAGCCTGGTGACATAGGCTGAAAAAATCATATATTGATATATTGTTAATGATGGAGTACTTTTTGTTGTTCTGAATTATTTAAAAAATCTGGGTTTTAAAAAGTGTCAAAAAATGCAATTTTTCTTTAACATTGTGTTCTATGGAATTGTTTCTCAAAAAACTTAACTGTAACACACAAAATAATGTTATTTTATTGCACCATAGGACATGATTGTACATAATAAACTAATAAACATTGTCATGCCATTTATGACCAATTTTGTCAAAAATTGTGAGTAGGCTTCTACCTTAACATAATGGTACTTTTTTTTGGTGTTCTTTTGTTGACTCCCATGTGCGAAGCACAAAATGGGAGTCTTTGCAGTTAGTGTGTCTGTATGTGTGTGTGTATGTGTGTATGTGTGTATGTGTGTGTGTGTGTGTGTGTATGTGTGTCCGACTGTTCCACTGCTATCTCAAGAACCATACATCGGTTTTTGATGAAACTTGGTGCATAGATGCTCTGGGCCAATGCGCAGATTTGATTAGGTTTTGGTAAAAATCCGTGCATATTAATTACCTAATTTGCATGATAATTAGCTATTTTTTAGTGGTTCCATGACTGTTCCACTGATATCTAAACAACCACTCATTGGATTTTGATGAAACTTGGTACATAGATGCTCTGAACTAATGCTAGGTTTTGATTAGTTTTTGGTAATAATCCGTGGATACTTAATTACCTAATTTGCATAATGATTAGTCAATTTTCGGTTTTTCCACTTGATATCTCAAGTACTAATCATCACATTTCAATGAAACTTGGTACATAGATGTCATACGACACTGCACAGACCTGATAGTTTTTATGGTAATA